TCCTTTTGTCTTTGTATGAAACAAGATCTTCATAAAAACATACATGAGACACTAGTTTGTATTGCATTGATCAAAATGCCACTCATGTTCCAACTTAGAAGATACTACCAATTGTCTCAGTTTCTAGAGAGAAAAAACAAGAGCTTACACTAGAGAGAGGCATTCTTCAGAAATGGCAGTATTAAGGAGAGGGAGCATTTCTTAATGATGAAATTCCTAGGAACAATGAAAATTAATTTAACTCAGAAAAAAATGTAAAACCTGAGATTTCTAAAGCAATGTGAAAGTCCAGTATGCCTCCCCCAAGCCTTGGAATGGACAGCAATAGTCTGAGGATTAAAGATTATTTCTCAGAATGATCCCCAAAGGAATGTGGTGATACAGGTTAGACCACCATCAGGAAGTTGGCTCTCTCTGCACATTTGTTTAGCAGCCAAAAAGGATGCCAAGCTTCAGAGAAGGTAGCCAAAACACAGTCCTTTTATGGTATGATAACATTTTGTTCAAGAAACGTCTTTCTTTTTTTACAGGCAACGTCTCAGAATCTACTCCTAGCTGCCTGGAAAAGATGGGGGCTTCTAAGAGTAAGCCAGATCTTGGCCTGGTGTATTTCATGATAGCAAAATAAAACCACTCACCAGGAGTTCTAGAAGGGATACAATCAAATGCTGCAAAGAACTGTCATTTTGGCAGCCTTTCTTCCTGAACCTCTCTGAGATTGGGATTCTAAACTAAGGCCCCTGCCCTGAGATTCACAACACATCTACAACTGCCAAGAGTTGTGTGACCTGGGGTTATTTTGTTTTCCTAAAGTACATTTTCTTCATGAGCCTCAACAACAACAACCTCTTCAACACCTTAAAACAGATTTTAAACTTTGTGAGCCTTTCCCGTGTTACTCAAGTTCAAAATCTTCGTTTCTATATAGAGGCAAGTCTTCTTTAATCATTTTTTATTATTCTTGGACCTAATTCTCGGATTAAGGCACTGTATAACAGGAAGAGGCACAGTGGCACGTATACTGAAACTAACATAACCTTTGTGAACACCAAGCAGCAGAGATTAAAAGCCCAGCTCCTTTAGACATAGGCTACATAAACAGCAATAGATTAATATTGTTTTACAAATGTCATGTTTCTAACTTGTAAAAAATGTGGAAAGCATTTAAATGTTTTGTTGTTGTTTTTTTAAACTACTTTTCATATTGAAGATTTTCTCCCTATGTTAATTAAACCCAATTGTCAAACAACTGCATTCTTCTTGGATCAACAATCAACACCCATGGAAGCAGCAGTTAGAAGAGATCAAACCATAGATTGCACTGGGCAAGTCTGCTATGAAATCAGACTTGCTGAAAGTTTTCCAAAGCAAGGTGTTCTTACCCCAAGTCATAGTTTTTCAATTGGCTCATATGTATTAGAAAGGCTGGACTATGAAAAAGCAAGAAAGAAGAATGTATGCATTTTAATTGTGATGTTGATGAAGAATGCTGAATATAGGAAGGATTGTCAGAAGGAACAAATCCATTTTAGAAGAAATACAACTAAAAGGCTCCTTTGAAGGTAGTAGGATGGTGACACTTGAGCTCACTTGCTTTGGAAATGCCATCAGGTAAGATCAACTGTTATGATTAATAAAGTAGAGGGTCAGTGAAAGGGAGGGGACCCTTCAATGAGATGGACTGATACAAAACTGTCACAATGGACTCAGACACACTAAACATTATGAGGATGGCAAACAGCTGGGCTGCATTTTGTTCTATTTTGAACAACCATTTTTTTCCTGGGTAGGGCAATTACTCAGTACTTTAAGGAGTGCCTTATAGTACTGAGCTTCTTATAGTACCGAATCGAGCTGCGAACCTTAAGGTCAGCAGTTTGAAACTACCAGCTGCTCCACGGGACAAAGATGAAGCGTTCTGCTCCCATAAAGATTTACAGCCTCAGAAACCCTGTACAGGGTCGCTATGAGTCGGTTCCGACTCCACGGCACATAACCACCACCACCACCTCAAGGAACCTGGAGTGGCACTGTGGGTTAATGAGTCCGACTGCAAAGTCATTTGAACTGCACAGTCGGCGGTTCAAGCTCACCAGCTGCTCCTTGGAAACCCTATACAAGGTCACAACTCGATGGCACTTAACAACAACATGAGGAGCTTTGGTAATGTAGTTGTTACACATCAGGTTGCTAATCTCAAGGTCATCGGTTCAAAACTACCTGCTTTTCCATGGGAGAACCGTGAGGCTTTCTGCTCCCGTAAAGACTTACAGCCTCAGAAACCCTATACAGGGTAGCTATGAGTTGGAACCGACTCCACAGCACATAGCCACCATCATAAAAAAGGTGTAAGTGTTTTCAGGTACTTATCATAAAATATTTCGTATTTCAATTAAACTCAGCGATCAAACTGGAGTAAAGTTTCTGTTAACAGAAGAACACAAGATGGCCATCTTTTTCAGATCATTTTAAAGTTGTGCCGTGTTACTGTTTTATTTTAATACACTTATGAAGTAAATGTGGTAAGGGTACCAAAAATAATATCCAAATATATAGAGTATTTGCGTTTCAAATAGTTCTAGGGAGTCAGTTCAAAACTTTTCAAATGTCTTCGACCACTGGTAGTAAAGAGATACTTATTTCTTCATTTCCATTTAGTTTTCAAACTCATTCAAAAAATGCATGATTCAATACAAAGGAATAGTTCTTAAACCCAGTAATTTTAGAAGTAGGAGATGTGATTAAAGAAAAACAAAACAAATGGTAGAAAGGGAGAGAAAAGTAAGAAATGAAACTATTACAAAGTTTAAAGAGTTGAGTACTTAACAGTTCCCTTTATTTTATTCTTCTTTCCATTAATTAGGTTTTATCCCTAAAATGTATTTATCAGGAACCACTCTGTTTCTCTTTAGCCATCAATTTCAATGTGTTTTCTTTGTTCTTGCCCTTGAGAATCCTGAGAACCATATCTTTATACATCTATGAAGATAGCAACATTCTTCCATTCGCAACTAGTTTCGGCAGGAAACTCATCATACTAAAATCAACTTTATTAACGTTTTTAAAAACATACCATAAATTTTAGTATTGTAGTACTCAATGTTGGTAGAATTCATTGTCTCCACCATCCCAGAAGAAATAGGTCATGTATACACAAAAGTTTTTCATGTATGTAAAAGTGCAAATTTAAATGTATGTACTTATTGTATGAACGGCATCCTGGTGTCGTGCTGGTACATAAGTACTGGATGACTGCTAGCCACAAGGTCAGATCAAACCCACCAGCCAGTCTTCAAAACCCCATTCCAGGGTCTCTTATGAGTCAGAACTGACTCGACAGCACTTTACAACAACTTGTTACGTGCAGGACTACTAGAGGTGAAAATTTCAACCACAATGAGTTTGGTTTTGTTTTTGAAGTAAATCAAGGGGCAGTGTTGGCTCATTGGTAGACTTCTTGCCCTCCAGGAGGAAGACCCAGGTTGAATTCTCAGCCAAACACATCATGTGCAGCTACCAATCATCTGTCAGTTGGGGGCTGCGTGTGGCTATGATGCTGAAGAGGTTTCAGTAGCGCTTCTAAACTAAGACCAGGAATATAGGTCTGGCAACCTACTTCTGAAAATCAGCCAATGGATCACAACAGTTAATCAGTTGTGCATGGGGTCTCCTTGAGTCAGGAACTGACTTGAAATCAGTAAACAAGAAGAAAAGTAAACAGATTAACTACATATGCTCTTGGAACATCTTGTGGGTTGCGATGAGAAACGACAGATATCTCAGAGAGATACTGAGCCAAACGCTATAGACAGGACTATGCCGGCTCTACTAGGAAATCACAGGGTAGTTAACATTCTTGTGATAGAAATAGCTTGGACTGTTGTTAGGGATGAAAATAGTCAGATGAACTAGAAACCTATAGAAGTGAAGATTAGATAAACTTGTATGTTATAGATTATCCTAACAGTAACTTTCTCATCTTATTTACCAAAAAGATAGGACTACTAAAAAACAATCATGTGCTTTTTTTTAAATCCCAAGGAAGGAGGTATGCATTCCTAAAGAAACTCAAAATTCTCAGTGGCCAATTAAAACAAAACTAAAATGTAACAGACATTGTTATCGATCATAAAGTGGTGCTTTACCAGGTCCACTAGGAAGTCTGAACTTTCAATGTCTGCTAAATTTGATACACAGCACAAACCTTCTAAAAAGCCAGTAGACTTTATTACCATATTGCACACCAAGATGAAGAAACTGAGAAAAGTAAAGGTTACATTCTGTCTCAAACTCTGGAACCTAGTTTTTTACAATAGAAAACAGCTATTATCTCATCTGACATTCTAGATGTTGAATCAAGAATTTAGAAAATAAAGAAAGAGTCAAGAGTTTGGCCAGTGGCAGAGGGCAGTCAGATAGGAACAAAATCTAAAACACAGGCTTAAAATAACTGCTGTTCTTAACTCCAGGGCTACTTGCGGACATTGACTACGAGCTCCGACTTCACATAATTGGCTATAAAGATAACCAGACTTGATATCTGTCTGGAGTTATTCAGTGCTCTTCCTTAATTATCGGAGTTGGCTTAAAGTGAGCAGGTTTAGTTAGCAACCAAGTCCAATGGTCCCTATTAACTTCCAAATGCCAGCAAGGTTTCTCTTTACTTACCCCTGATTTGTCTCAATATCGAATGATTTTTCATTCTCTTTACTTCTCCCCCTCCGAATCCATATCAATAGCCGAAGACAATACCCCAACAACCTGATAAGCACCAAAGAGGCAGAAGAGTAGAAATGATGCAACATCAAGCATTTAAAACATGCCACACTGTCATTCAGGAGAATCTACTAGAAAGAACCGTATCAGCGGCACTATTAATGTGCTATAAAAATGATTTCTTAAAAGATCATTGTGGAGTTTGCTACAAATTGACAGAAATTAAACCATCATTATTTTGTATTTTAAGCAGAATTTGGTGACAACATTGACGGGTAACCTACCTTAAATTTAAGTAGGCCAGCATCTGGAGATTAATGATGGCCTCAGGAATGGCTCGGATACAATTGTGATATAGATTAAGAATTTCCAGTGATACAAAATGGCACAACTCCATCGGAACTTCAACCAGTCTGTTTTTAGATAAATCTATAAGAAAAGGAAAGATGGTTTTGTCAGTAAATCTCCAATGCAATCAACACAATCTTTTGAGTTCTATTTCCAAGTACATTAGCCAATTACAGTGATGCAAGAGTATGTTGTTGTTAAGTGCCATCGAGTTGATTCCGACCCATAACAACCCTATATGGAGTTTCCAAGGAGCAGCTGGTAAGCTTGAACCAATGACCTTGCAGTTCAAACGACTTTGCAGTTTGATGCATTAGCCCACAGTGCCACACCAGGACTCCACACCATAGAAAAGCATAAATACTTCCGCAAAAAAAACAAAATAAAACATTTTAGTTGATAGAACTAAATAAACTGATACAGTTTGTAAATCCTGCCTAGGATATAAGGGGAACTGAATTACTTTTTTACTCTATCTGAAAATGATTTCAAATCCATCCTGCCTAGGCAAGCATCTCTGGGTGTTTGTTGTTAAGTGCCACTGAGTCGGTTCCAACTCATAGCGATATTGTATAGGTTGCGGAGGAGCACCTGGTGGGTTTGAACTGCCGACCATGTGGCTTGCAGTCAAGTGCTAATCCTACAGAACCATAGATACCAAGAGTCCCTTCTTGTTGTTAAGTGCCATCAAAATCGGTTCCAACCTATAGCGACCCTGTATAGGGTTTCCAAGGAGCAGCTGGTGAGCTTGAACCCCCAACCTTGTGGTTCAAACTGACTTTGCAGTCCAGCACATTAACCCACAGCGCCACACCAAGACCCCAGGAGTTTTTTAATATCTCTGAATCATGTTTTTACTATAATGATTTAATTCAATTTTGTATCCATGACATATATTATCTGGTAGTGTAGTGGTTATGAATCAGGCTGTGAACCACAAGGTCAGTAGTTCGAAACTACCAGCCGTTCCGTGGGAGAAAGATGAGGCTTTCTGCTCTCGTAAAGGTTTACAGGCTTGAAAATCCTGTACAGGGTCACTATGAGTCGGAACCGACTCCATCGCACATAACCACCACCACACCATCCAGGATGTAATCCCCTGGAAATGAAAACACAGTAGTCACTAAACAGATATGTTAATCTCTAAAATTACTGAGTACCTACTAAAATATACAAGAGCTGACTAACTCAATTGTGTGGATTAAGGATGACACTGAGTCTGCCATATGACCAACTATAAAAACGGTCTCTATGGGTCAAGTGTAAAAAATGATAATTATGTTCCACAAAGCACTATAAACTTATAATAAAGTCTGTCATATCACCATTCCACAAATTAAAATATGGAATAATCCTGAATACCGAAATCTGGGTGATGTCCAGATACCATCAAACACTTTGTGGAAAAAGATACCACTCCTGAAAACGCCAAACAATACCACAGAGGAAATGTTGTTGTTAAGTGCTATCGAGTGAATTCTCACTCACAGAGACCCTGCATAGGGTTTCTGAGGCTGCAAATCTTTGTGTAAGTAGAAAGCCTCATCTTTCTCCTGCAGAGCAGCTGGTGGGCTTGAACCACTGACCATGCAGTTAGTAGTCCAGTGATTATCCTACAGTGCTACACCAGGGCCTATAGAGGAATCAGAAGCGGCCAAAGAACAATTCTTCCTGCCTGACCCTCAATTAAATGTGTTACACAGTAGAACTGCTCCATGGGGCTTTCGTGACTGTCATTTTTATAGAAGCAGGTCACCAGGCCTTTCTTGTGTGGTGCTACCAGGTGGATTCAAGCCACCAACTTTTAAGTTAGTTGTTGTTGTTGTCAGGTGCCATCGAGTTGGTACCGACTCATAGCAACCTTATGCACAGCAGAACGAAAACACAGCCCGATCCCGGGCCAACTTCACTATTGTTGCCACTCTTGAGCCCATGGATGCTGCCACTCTGCCAATCCATCTCATTAGGGGGTCTTCTTCTTTTTCTCTGACCCTCCACCTTACCAAACATGATATCCTTCTCCAGCGACTGGTCCCTCCTGACAATATGTCCGAAGTATAAGAGACGAAGTTTGGCCATCTTAGCCTCCAAGGAGCATTCTGGCTGCACTTCTTCCAACAGAGAGCCATCCACTGGTTCTTTTGGCAGCCCATGGCACTTTCAA